GTGTTACGTAGTGAGAATGCCTCCTGGAAGCGTAGTGTTACGGAAAGCCTCCTTGTTCGTTGTAAAGTATCCCAACAAGAGAAGGGATGGAGACTGCGGCGGGGGGCAGGGTGTCAGAGCCCGGATTGTCCCAGGCACACCCCTGGAGCCTGTACCCAGCATCCCTTGGGCTTGGCTGCCCTCTTGTTTCCAGCATTTTCCATCTCAGTCCACTGGGAGAGCTGCCTACAAAAGTCCACCTTCACCCGAATATTGTGAACGAGTGGGCAAGGGGGGTGACTTCATAGATGTTCTGGTAATGTTTGGCTCTAATGGGTTTTACTTTTAAAACTGAGTCTCTGCTGCAGAGTAGAAACGACATGTTGTACCAGATCCGCCCTGTCCTCGGGAACCTCGGAGCCGAGATTGCAAAGTCGGGACGAGATCTGGTGGGGAATCAGGGTGATTACTGAAGGATCTTTCCTTCCGTGTTGTCTTGGCGTCCTCTTCTCAGGATGCTACCAAGGATGATTCAAGTGAAAAATATTCAGTGACATAAACCTTTTTGGATACGGTTTTCTCTTTCTCGGCTGTGTTCCTAGTTCTTTTGGAGACTAAAGTAATTAAATTGTTTCCAGTTTTCCAGAGTGTTCCAGGCAAAGGAGCGGAGGCAGCTGGACCAGAGGCCCGATTGAAAGGGAAAGTGGAGAGAGTGCAGGGGGTGTGAAGACATTAGGGGACTTTCTGGGTGGTGAGCAACAGCCCGACTTGGGAGTGGCAGGCCTGAGACTCTTTGGCCCTACTCTGAACAAAGGAACACTGTTTCCAGACAAGACCTATCTGTGTAGGTCTGTGAGTATTCAAGGGGTAAGACCTATTTGTGTAGGTATGTGAGTATCTAAGGAACAGGACCTATTGGTAGAGGTATGTGAGTATTCAAGGGATAAGACCTATTTGTGTAGGTATGTGAGTATCTAAGGAACAGGACCTATTGGTAGAGGCATGTGAGTATTCAAGGGATAAGACCTATTTGTGTAGGTATGTGAGTATCTAAGGAACAGGACCTATTGGTAGAGGTATGTGAGTATTCAAGGGATAAGACCTATTTGTGTAGGTATGTGAGTATCTAAGGGACAAGTCCTATTTGTAGAGGTACATGAGTGTTTAAGGTCTTCGAGCTGGATTCTGTCCTGCAGGTCGTGATGAAATATGCTCACTTTCACATCCTGACGGTGCCTCTGTCAGCTGCCTTCTCTCTTGAACCTGGGGGTGGACCAGGGATGCCCTGACCTTCACTTGTCAGACCAGGTGCTTGTGGGGAAAAAAGAAAAAAGGTTCTACAGAAATAACCTCACAAGATGACCTGATTGCAAACTGCTCACTGGGCAGGTCACGGTGGGTAGTCACACCGCTGGCATAGAGCTTCTTTCGTAAAAGGCTTACCTTTGCCTTAAGCCAGCCATGCCCATGGTTTCTGTGTACCTAGGTTAACACACCTTTGAAATGCCCCCTGTCAGGCCCCCGCTTCTAAAGCGTGACCACCCTCAAGAGAGCAACAGCCTTAACTCTCGGGTATCTTAACTCCGGTAATCCCATCCTGCCTTGCTTTCCCCACCTCCGAGTAATCCTCCTCACGTTCCTGATTCCAAAGGCATAAAAGAGGCCGCAACCCCCCTTCTAGGAAGCGTCTTCCCAGTCTGTTGAGATCTTGCTTCCAGGTGTATCCTGTGTTTGGCTCACATACATTTTTATACAAATTCTCTGCAGGTTTGGATGTTTGTTTTTTAATTTTTTTAATTGATTTTTTAGAGAGAGAGGAAGGGAGGGGTTCGTCTGAGAGAAACATCAACGTAAGAGGGAAACATCAATCGGCTGCCTCCTGCACGGGCCCCCACCGGGGACCGAACCCGTAACCTGGGTATGTTCCCTGATCGGGAATTGAACCAGCGACCTTTGGGGCATGGGACGATGCCCACCCAACTGAGCCACACCGCGGGGGCTGCAGGTTTGGGTTTTTTGTGTCAACATGCTCCTTGAGCTCAAGACTTGCACCTTCGGGCCCTCACCACGTGCCGCCCACCCTCCATTAAACGCTCTTGGCCGCGCAGGGGGAGGGGATTTGTCTGGAACACACAGCTCAGCCTCCGCTGCTTGACTTTGAAATGGTTTATGTGATGGAGGAGTGCTTTGCTTGCTTTGGGAGAAAATACCTCGGGAAGGAAGCAGTGGGTTCACAGCGCTCCTTTCTGTGCCCTTGGCCCCGTGGAGTCCCGCTCTGGGCCCAGGGTTCACTTCTGTTCTCAGAGAGGCCCTCGGTCCCCGCAGTGATGAGGAGTGTCTGTCTCCATGTCACTCTGAAGGTCCAGCATCGCTCTCAGACTGCTTCCGAGGGAACCCCAAGCACCACGGCTGTGTAACAGCTCCACGTCCTGTCCGTGGGGAACTAACTGAGGAATCCCCACAGACATGGTGTATTTGTGGTGGGGAAGCTCTGGGGTCGAGATCAGGGCCTCTACTGACGAATTTCAGAGGGAAGGTGGGGGCAGGGGGGTTAATGAGGGGACTTATAGGCATATATGCATAGCCCATGGACAAAGACAGTGGTGTGGTGAAGGCCTGGGAGGGGCAGGTGCGGGGTGGAGGAGGGTCAATGGGGAAAAAAAACAAAGGGGACAGTTGCAATACTTTAAACAATAAAGATAAATAAATAAAGACCAGGGCCTGTCTGTTCATCGGTATATCGGTAGCTGTCAATCTTGGACATTCCGTCCCCTTAGGTGGGGTCTTGTACCAGGTGGTCCTGCTGTCTGGTGTTCTAAGGGGGGGACACCCTGGGGTGGCAGGGCCTTGCCGCTGTTCTCCTGGGTTGAGGGCATTTAATTTAATCCCCATTGTGGATAGCTCCTTAATGCACTGAAAGAAGATTACTTATTTTTAAAAGCTCCTTTCCATTTTGTTCTCGTGCATTTGACAAATGGGCCATTATTATTCTCAGGGCGGCCGGGGCAGAGGCTGGCCGGGGCAGAGGCTGGCCTGGAAAGGGTGGGGCCCCGACCGGTGTCCCTCCAACCGGCCTCCTGGGAACAGTGGTAGCATTTTGTGTGGCCATCGTGGCATGTGGAGGCAGGATCAGATGGTGGTTTTAATTAGTGTTTCCAGCTGAACGCTGTAGGGAGGCCAGGAAACCGCTGGTCTGTGGGGCTTGGTTTTATGTAGAGTCGGAAGCCAGCGGGCTGGGAAGACCCTCAGAGGGTCTCGGTGGGGAGCCGTTCGGACCTGGAGGTGTCTCACTTTCAGTGACAGCCCTCACCTCCTTGCTGTGACTTAAGTGGTAGTTGTGGTCTTCGGAGTCTTACGTGCAGAAGTGTTAGCGCCTTTTAAACTCATCTGTTTCTGTTTTTGTGTGTGTGTTTATTTGGTTTTAATTGAGCGCCTGAGCTGTCTCTGCCTCAAGGAATGGGTGGGGCAGTAGGAAGCTCCTTGTAGAATGGGATCGAAGGAAACCATCTCTCCCTTGCTTGCGGCGGGCACCAATAAAGCGGTCCATTTTCTTGGGAAAACTCCGGTTAGCTTCGCAGAGAAGATCCCAAAGAAATAACAGACATCAGCCAGTCAGTTGTCTGTTTTTTTACGTTTCGCGGGAGCGAGGCCCCGGCTGCTGAGACAGGGGACAGCGAATGCTCTCTGGGTCCTGTCATTTGTGTGTGTGAGGCCTCGGGCATCAAAATATGTTCCTCCAGCGAGGATTGTTTACAGAGCATTTATTTTTATAACGAAAAGACGACATTTCTTATACAAACATTTTCCCGTTCCAGCCTCTTGTGAACGCGGGAGATGCCATCACGTGATGAAGATACTGTAACTAATCCACATGAATTCGTCTTCTGAGAGCGACCTTACAAGGGAGGGTGAAGATAGGATAGGACTGGGCAACTTTCTGCCGGTGTTGGGAATAGGCAAGATTTTCTTCTACATCTGTGCCATGGAGGTCTTTGTGAAACAGGCCGCAAGACAGGAACTATTTTGATAATCTTTCTACTTCCTAATAAACCCACCCGAGAATTAAAACATTTTCTCTTTCTTCCCAAGTGACACCCTCCAATGTGGGGTCAGCAGTTCCCTTGGGAAGGAGGGGGAGTCCATCTGTCCTGTCTCGCTCTCAGCCGCCGAATGACCCCGCTGTGGCCAGGCACCCTGGTCACCTGCTAGCCTCCCTCCATCCTCCCAGGCGTGCACACCTGCCACCTGGCCTGGGAGTCATCCCACCCTGGGCTTGCCTGGCGTCCTGCCAGAAGGGTGGCTGGCCCTCCTTCTAGATCTGCTTCCTCAGAGGGATTCTGGGGCAGAAACTGGATATTCCTCTATCACAATCATCCCTCTAAAATGCTTTGTGATTTATGTCAGGAGTATGGCCTGGTTACTCCTGGTGGAATTATCTGTCTTCTTAAGCGTGCTCATTTGATAATTCTGTTTTTAAGTCTGTATAATTTCGTAACTGTTTAAAATTTCATATGTTCTTTGAATCATTCCCACATCTTTGAAAACCACGACAGGTTAACATTTATTTATATTGAAAAAATTTCTTGTGTTCTGGATATATTTTTTAAGTATTTTACATGTAGCATCTATAGCTTATTTTCTTTCAAAGGCTCCTTTTTTAGTGAGAGGTGATGGCTAATGGCCCTCACTTGTATGGATGTGGGATTGTCTGGGGAATTTAAAATCAGCGGGTGTGGAGAAATAGAATAGAGCGATATTTAAAGAAAAACATCTTTGTGTGTGGAGAGAACATAACTAGATTTGGGCAAGAAAGAGTTTAGCTCCTGAGAAATCCATCAGGAAGAAAAGATTTGAAATATTTTCTCCAGTTTTCAGACTATTACATAATAGAAAAGATGTGGATCTGGATATTTTTCCAAGTTTGAAACTCTGAATTCTTGTCCTTGCTGATCTCGATCTCTCTCTCTCTCTCTCTCTCTCTCTCATAAAGTTACATTACAGTTGTCTTGTCCCTCCTCCAGGTGGTGTCTTGTCGCGTGGTGGGCAAGGCCATCCAGTTCCTGGTTAATTCGGGGCCAGCCTCGCCCGAGGACATGGGGCGCCAGGAGTACAGCGTGCGGCTCGCCCCGCTGCATTTACAGGTGAGGTTGGGTGGGTTGTGCGAGTCATGGGAAACAGTTCTCATAAGCCTGTAGGTCAGCGTGGGGAGCCACAGGGCGTGAATACCCATGTTTTTATTAGTTGTCCTTCATTTAGTAATTTCCCAACAATAACCTTCCATATTGTGTCTGTAGGAAATAAAAAGTGTGTGTGATGTGTAAGTTATATATACACACTTACATATATACTTGCATGTGCTGTACATGTGTGTATACACACACATATATACATATACACACATACATGTATATATATAATGAATTTAGAGGTTTCCCATCTATCAGAAATGGGAGGTATGGTATCTTCAAGGACTTGAACAGTCGGGGGTGCTGCCAACAGGTAGGATCAGGTAGATGGCAGGTGAGTGAGGCGAGTGCGTCTGTCTCAGATCAGTGTTGGACCTCAGACGTATGCTGCAGCTTGGAAAACCGCTTAGGGCAGCGGTTCTCAACCTGTGGGTCGCGACCCCTTCGGGGTCGCCTCCTAAGACCATCGGAAAACACATATATAATTCCATACTGTTTTTGTGATTAATCACTATGCTTTAATTATGTTTAATTTGTAACAATGAAATTGGGGGTCACCACAACATGAGGAACTATATTAAAGGGTCACGGCATTAGGAAGGTTGAGAACCACTGGCTTCTTCCTTTTGAAAAAGTCTGCTTCAAAAGACCCCCTTTTTTATGTTAAACTAGAGGCCCAGTGCACGGATTCATGCACCGGTGGGGTCCCTCCGCCTGGCCTGCACTCTCGTAATCTGGGACCCCTTGGGGGGTGTCAGAGAGCTGGTTTCAGCCCGATCCCCACAGGCCAGGCCGAGGGACCCCACCAGTGCACGAATCCGTGCACCAGGCCTCTAGTATGCATATAAGATCTTTGGTTAATCTTTCCCCACTCTTCCCCCTCCCCCTTTCCCTCTGAGATTCATCAGTCTGTTCCATGTTTCCATGCCTGTGGTTTCCACTCCTACGTTGAGCGTCTGCCCCCTGGTAGTCAGTGCGCATCATAGCTACCGAATGGTCGCTTAGGCTTTTATATATATAGATGAGTATCACCATTATTTTTAAGTTACTAGACCTTATTATAATAATTATAATAGACATATATAACTGTTTTATGACTTATACATAATTATATATAACTAGAGGCCCGGTGCAAAAAAATTTGTGCACTCGGGGGTCCCTCA